CTGGGCGACAGAGTGAGACTCCAACTCAAAAAAAAAAAAAAAGAAACTTGCTGCTGCCAGGGAAGAAGGATGGCTGCCACCCCAGGTGGCCATGGTGTGTGAGGGGGCACAGTCAGGGGCAGATAGCCCAAGAGGTGGACAGGGCCAGATCCCAGGGCACTCTGAAGGCCTGGGCTGGATCCTGTAGGCAGCTGGAGCTGTTACAGGGGGGAGTCAGTTTGTTAGGGAAAGAACATCTGAGTCAGATCAAAGCCTTCCATAGACCACTCTGGCTTTGACTAATTGATGTCAGGAGGGGAGGGAAGGGGAGGCGGCAAGCAGTTGCAGACAGGAGTGTTGGGACTTGGAGTGCCAACACTGAGTGGTGTTGCACCTGTTTGAGCCCAACCAGGAATCTCACAGCCTTGGTCAGCAGGGAGCGCTGTGGCCACTGGCTGGTTGCAGTGGCCACAACCAGATGTCCTTGGGCCTGAAGATCAGCAGTAAGGGAGAACCACAACTTGGCAGAATCATAGTAGCATCTCAAAATGGAGGGATGAGGGAAGGTACTTACAAGGTTTCAGGTTCCAGGGTGGGTGATTTTAAGATGGGTTTTGCATGGCAGGTTTTAGCTTTGCATCGGTGAACCCGGTGAGGTAAAGGATCTGGAAGTGAGTCTTGACAAGCAAGCTATTAGTCTCTTTTTTTTTTTTTTTTTTGAGTTGGAGTCTCACTCTGTCACCCAGACTGGAGTGCAGTGACATGCTCACAGCCACCACAGCCTCTACCTGCTGGGCTCAAGTGACCCTTCTGCCTTAGCCTTACAAGTAGTTGGAACTACAGATACGTGCCACCATACCTGACTAATTTTTTGATTTATTGTAGAGATGAGGTCTTGCCAAGTTACCCAGGCTGGTCTCGAACCCGTGGGCTCAGGCAGTCCTCCCAAAGTGCTGGGATTATAGGTGTGAGCCGCTGTACCTGGTCAGTTTTGTTCTTACTGCCAATTCTGTTAGATCAAGTTCCAGGAGATCAGAGACCAAGACACAATTTTCCTGCAAACCCAAAAGCCTTATCTTAGGGCCTGGACGTTGTCAGCACACAGCAAATGTTTATTGAATCTGTGTGTGTGTGACTGTCCCAGCATGCGTCAGTGGCCCTGGGACGTCTCTGGGCAGCACTCTACCTGGGACAAGCAGCAACAGGAGAATGTGTCCAACAACTTGCTGCTCCCAATGTGGTCCAGCGACTAGGCTCAGCATCTCCCAGGAGTCTGTGAGAAGTATAGGCACTCAGGCCCCACCCCAGACTCTTGATATTAGCAAACAGCCCAGTGACATGTGTGCACATTCATGTCTGGGAAGCAGTTTAAGTGTCTGGCTTTCATAACAGTGGGAGCCATTAAACGTTCAGTTCACACAGCACTTCCTGCCTGCCAGGCAGGTGGAGAGCCCTGTAGGTGCTGCAGTGAGACCTGTGGGGTTTCAGCTCTGGAGGGAAACAGGCACAAAAACACAACTCAGACTGTGAGGATGTCAAAAATGCACATTTGCCCTATTGGTATGGAAAAGAGACTTCTGTGCTTGAACCCATTTGCAGCGAGATATGTGTCTGCGTGTGTGGCTAAGGAGCCTGCTTTTCCCTGTGCAACATTAAACCTCTGCTTGGCTTTCCCCACAGAAGCAATAACCACAGCCACACTCTTCCTGTCCTTTTCTGTGGTAGATCCTGACGGCAAGCGGTGATGGCACGTGCGCCCTGTGGGATGTGGAGAGCGGGCAGCTGCTGCAGAGCTTCCACGGGCATGGTGCTGACGTCCTCTGCTTGGACCTGGCCCCCTCAGAAACTGGAAACACCTTCGTGTCTGGGGTAAAGACCTAAGGAAGATCTCTAGGGCTCCTTTGTCCACAAGGGAGGTGTATAGTGGCAGTCCCACAAATGGTTGTGGGACTTGGCCAGATGCTTCCCTAGGAAGGGACTGCAGGAATTGTCCTTAGCTCCCCACTGCACCCGCAGTTCCTGCAGCGGTGACGGTGCTGACTCCTGTCCCTTCTCGGGTGCTTGGTGGGCAGTTGCAGCACTGGGCTGTGAGGACCTCCTTCTGTTCTGCCATTGACACTTGGCAGTCTACAGAGGAATCTGGAATGTCCTTCATGAGTGCTGCAAATAAAGCTGCATCTCTGCCACATTTAAAATGTCAGTCCTCAAATGGCAGAGTTAACATCTGAGCACGCTAGAAGAGCTACAGGGCCCCAGGCAGCTCCTGGCTAGTGGGATGAGGCAACACTGAATGGAATCAGGGCTTTGGGGCTTGTGGAATGCTCTCCCAGCCCAACACTGGCCACTATCCTCCCTCCTACCCCAGGGTGCAAGGAACAGTCTTTGAAGGCTCAGAGTCAGCAGATATGGCCCTGGTGGCACAGAAGAGCACTAGAGTAGGAGTCAGGGAACCTGAGTCGGAGCTTTGCTACCTAACTCTAAGTGTCATTATCCATAAAGAGGGCAAAATTCACAATAGTACTTGCACCTCCCTCCCAAAAATATTCCAAGCAACAGATGAAAGAGTTTACGGTGTATTATGCAGATAGGAAGGGTGTGTATTTCTGTGAACAGTCTGAGTAAGAACAGAGAACCAAGTTGGCTGACCCAACCCTTGGTCTTGTCTCACCACAGTCAGCAGACTGTGGTGAGACAGAACAGTGACGCACACACTGTCAAATGACTTTTGCAGCTGGGACACATAGGGTCCTTTGCTCCAAGCTGGGAGTCAGGCCAGGGTTGTGTGACCTCTAATTAGCAGGGACCCTGATTTTCTTCCGAAGTATTTGGTCATCTGTATGTGTAATTCATCCCTGTTCCTTTATATAGCTATATTTATCTCTCCTCAACTATGCTGTGGTGTGTTTTTTTTAAATTACTGATATTGTAGGTTATATTCTCTTTTACTAAAGAAGTTTGCACTAAACTCCAACCAATTTAATGCCCTCTAAAGTTTGGAAGACACCAGTGATTTATTTACCCACATTCTTGGTAAGATTCTCAGAGTGCTGAGCCCCCACTACAGGTCTTTCCCAGATGCCAGTTAGGGTTCTTCATCCCACCCTTTGTTGAAACCAACAACTTGGGCACCAGGTTTAAGCCATTACTTTGTGACTATGGAAGCCATTCTGTTTGACTATTGAAAGTCTGCATTATACCACTCAAGTAGGACTACTCTGCAGGAATTTATCAAAATTCTCCCAGAACCTTGATAGTATAATGTGAAACCCCTCATGTTTATGATTCTCTGGGTCATGTTAGCAACCCAGTGACAGCATTTACTTTACAGGTGATGAGGCAGAAGCCCAGGAAGGTGACTTGCCTGAGCCGTCCAGTGAATCAATGGCAGGGCCATGACTGGATCCCTGGTCTGCCAGTCTCCAGCCTGGCATGTTGCTGAGGGTACAGGTGGCCCAGGAGCGCCTGGCTCTCCACTTTTGCTGAGGGCTACCCCATACACCTCAGACAAAGCTGGAACTCTTGACTGCATAGTTTGGACACTGCCAACCCATTCACCAGTGTCACAGCAGCCAGAGAGGTCCCACCATGCACCACTGTCTGCCTGCCTTGCCTTCTGGGCTTGGGGAGGAAGATATAAAGATGAGAGATAGGAAGGGAAGATGAAGGGAGATGCCCAGGGGGAGGGGGAGGAGAGGCTCTGGAGGGTTTGCCTCTGCTCAGAAATGTGCAGAAGAAGAAAGCATGCTACAGGGAGAAGCTGGGAACCATCCCTCACTCCCATCCCAGGACCTAGTTTTGGGCTTCTAAAGGAATGAGAAAGTGGCCTTAGGTAAAGCTAGTCTCAGAAGTGTGTCGTCAACCATATACTAATGACAAATGAATGTTCTCTATTCTATAACTGGGACTCGTGCATTATGTGTGTAGACATTACTTGCAGTGGCCACAACTTTGGGTAATTTTACATTTGTAGGGATGTGACAAGAAAGCCATGGTGTGGGACATGCGCTCCGGCCAGTGTGTACAGGCATTTGAAACACACGAATCTGACATCAACAGTGTCCGGTCAGTGAGTAGAATGTTCATGTTATTTCTCTGTTGTGCCGGCATTACCTGGCCTTGGGTAATCTTTAACCCAGGAGCCACCTCCAGACTCAGTTTACTTGGCCAAGAGAGCCCCCCCCCAGCAAGAAAGGCTGATTTGTGGTAGAACTGAACAGTGCTTATGGAGAATTTTCATTTAATTGCATTAGAGGCAATTGATATCCTCCCTAAATCGAATCAGTATTTCTCATCCATTCATGCAGTAAATATTTACTGAGTGTTTGTATGCTAGACATTATTCTAGAAACTGGGATTATGGTGATGAACAGTATAGACAAGGTCTCTACTCTCCCACAGGAGACAAAATAGACCAAACACGAACAATTTAAAGATAATTAACGTTTTAATTTAAAGACAATTTAAAGATACTGATAAGTGCTATGAAACAATAAAACAGGGAGATTTGATAGGGGATAGGTTATTTCTTATAGGTCAAGGGTAGCCACTCTGAGAAGGTGACTTTTAAATTAAGGCCAGAATGATGAAAGAGCCAGGCATGCAAAGAGCTGGAGGAAGAGCACAGTGAAATGTTGAGGACCTAATGAAAGGCCGTGTGGCCACTGGGGAGTTTTGAGTGAAGGAGGTAGCTAACATGATCATGTTTTGCTGGTAAAAGATCACTCTGGCTATACAGACGGCAGGGGAACAATAATGAAAGTATGATGGACACCTAGGAGGTTATGTGAGTTTAAAAAAGGAATGGTGATAGCTGAAACTCAGGTGGACATGGCAGAACCAGAGAAATGTCAAGAAGTATGAAGAGTCTGAGATTTTACCTACCTGTAAGCTAGCAAGTTAGGCTGCCACAGCTTATGAATGCTTGTAGAAGACACAAGATTCCTGGATCAGAAGTATAGGACAGTTTATTGATCATAGCATGGCAAAGCCAGTATATATAACCAGCATGTTTGTGCAGGTTACTTGAGCTCCAGTTTCACAGGATGATAGGAAAAGGGCTAAATGGCACCTGCAAATGCCAGAAGATGCATTATAGGAGAAGCCTGAGCTTGGAAACCCAAATCTTTTACCAGGGGCATTAAGAACGTATCCATTCACTAAGACAGGGAAGGCTGGAGGAAGTGCAAGGAGGAGGTGGTTTTTGCACATGGATTCGGGAGTTCTTTGAGGGCTAGTTAAGTTTAAGATGCCTGTTATACATCCAAGTGGAGATGTCGAGTAGGTAGCAGGATCTATGAACCAGATCCCAAGAGAGAGAGGTCAGGACTTGACATGTGTGGACGATGACACTGATGAGACCATCTATAAAGCATCTTCATTATACTGAGTGGAGAAACACTAGAATTGTTCTTCTTAAAGCAAGAACAAAATAAGAATACTTATTTACTTTAGTACTCCCTACCCTCAAATGTAGGATAAGGAATAAGGAAAAAGTCTACCACTGTTTTCAAATGTGCAGTAGTTATGTAGAAAATAAAAGGAAATCAATCTGGAAATGACTACAGACAGTAAATGAAATTAGTAAGATGGAAGATAAAGTCACAAAAACAAATTAAGTTTTTATATGTTAATAAAGTACAGCCATACCTTGATGTCCATGGGGCATTGGTTCCCGGACCTCTCTCAGTTACCAAAATTTGAGAATACTCAAGTCCCTGTCATAAAATGGTATAGTGTTTGCATATAACCTATGCACCTTCTCTTGTATACGTTAAATCATCTCTAGATTACACATAATACCACATACCACGTACATACTATGTACATAGCTGTTATACTGCATTGTTTAGGGAATCATGACAAGGAAAAAATCTGTTCATGTTCAGTACAGATGCAACTATTCATTTTTTTTCTGAATATTTTCCATCTGTGGTTGACTGAATCCACAGTTGTATAATCTACGGATACAGAAGGCTGATGTACAGCTTTAAAATACATATTCTCTCACCCAAGCTATTCCATCGACCCTGAGCGCTCTTCCTTTAGCCTCCTTTAGACCATCAGAGATGGTCTAAGACATCCCTCTCTCCAGAAAGCCCTCTTGGTCCCTCTGCTGAGTTAGGTGCCCTCCCATGGGAGAGGGACTACACTTTGTGCCCAGTTCACTCAGCCACTCTGAGGAAGTCAAAGAGGGAAAGAAAACCTTATGCGGTAACCAGACTTTAAGCATTTATGAATTCTTTACAAGAAGATATTGAGAGATAGAGAAATAAACTCAATTCTTGATAGGAAAGATTAAATCTAACTTTAAAATGACAGTTCTTTTTGTATAGAGTAAATGCAGTTCCAGTTATTTATTAGAGTGGTATAATTGATGCTGGGATTCATCCAGCCCAGAGATTCTACAGGGACTGGTTGAGTGGGCCATGTTCAGGGAACCTTCTGGCTTTCTTCCAGACAAAGAACTGGCTACTGTGTCCACCCAAGGCTGAGGTCATAATGAATGTTGTCATTGTTCTTTTAGCTCACCCTTGGTTATACACTGGAGTAGCTAGGACATGGTCTTGGATAAGAGAGACCCAGATAATGGCGACTTAAACAAGATGGAAGTTTATTCTCACATTAAAGTCTGAGCTGCTATGATGGCTCATTCTGTCTTTGCATCCCTGTTCCTTGGATGGTGCTTTCAGCCTCCTGTCCCCATTAGTCCTCCACCATGTCTTTTTCCAGCCTGTGGGCAGAGGAGAGTTAAGTTTATCACTTTTGCTTACATCCCATCTGCCAGAACTTTATCATATGGCTATACCTGGCTGCAGGAAGACCAGACATGCAGTTCTCATTCTGCCATGTGCTTAGCAAAATAAATAAATAAATGAAAATAAGTTTTAAAAAAAATCAGTGTTTCTCAATGAGACATACTTTCAGTATTTTGGGTAGGACATTTTTTCATTGTAAAGGACTTATTTTTTTTTAATCAATATTTTTTATTATGATTTTGTGGAGTACAGTTAAGGGTTAGGTGTACAATTACGTTTCATTCAGGCACCCTGTTGATAAGAGGT